AAAACTTTTTATTGGATACAATGTTCCAATTTTTAAACTCAAGTACTAACAAAAAACTTTATTAAAAATTACTAACCTTTACATATTTTATTTAATTTACTCACCTAAATTATTTCAGTTATTAAATACCCGGCAATATAGTTTTTCGCCTTTCCGAAAACTACNCTGAAAGTCCTCTCGACTCGTGCAGCGTCAATCGAAAAGAATTTACAATTTTGTCAAGTTTCAAGTTTTTCAAGTTTGTCGCTTCGAGCGAGCAGTTATTTAGTGGACCTAATTTACGACCCTTTAAAAACTTTTTATTGGATACAATGTTCCAATTTTTAAACTCAAGTACTAACAAAAAACTTTATTAAAAATTACTAACCTTTACATATTTTATTTAATTTACTCACCTAAATTATTTCAGTTATTAAATACCCGGCAATATAGTTTTTCGCCTTTCCGAAAACTACCGCTACACGATAAGCAGGGGTGGGGTGACCCCTATTTCAAACATCTTCGATAGAACGTTCAGTTAGATATAATGAGATAAACATATATAGATATATGTGAGCGACATCACGCCCATTTTCCTAAATTCAATAATAATGTTACTTCTTTCCAAGAGATTGTTTGGGTAAAATTAGCGTCCTTAAATTTCTAAATATCGAAGTTTCAAGCATTTCTGAAATTTACCGTTATGAAAAAGTGGGCGTAATTTTAGTCCGATTTCGATAACTTTCAACGTTTTGCCTTTATGTGGCAACCACAATAATCGTCCCGAGATGGTACACATTGATCGAACGGTTACCGAGATACATACATATATGTGATCATAACTGAGCGGGGTCACGCCCATTTTCCAACATATTATTATAAGCGTATTTTTTGCTAAAGTAATGCAAACATCAATCTTGAATAAATTAGCTCCAGTATTTACTGATTTATCGAAGCTTTCGTATTTCTCTAAATTACTGTTATATGGGATGTGGGCATGGTTATTATCCGATTTTTTAAATTTTCAGCCGTTTGGTATGTTTTGTGAAGGCCAACAACTGTGTCTGTGTTTGGGAGAAATTGGCGGAGCGGTTCCCAAGGTATACATATGTAATCATAAGTGGGCGTGGCTACGCCCATTTACCAAACATTTTTAATATTCTTATTTTTCGCCTAAAAATGATTGTAAATATCAATTTTGAGTGAAAAAGCTTCGGTAGTTGCTAAAATATCGCAGTTTTCGTATTTCTGAAAACTATCGTTGCATGGGAGGTAGGCGTGGTTATCGTCCGATTTTGCCTATTTTCAATACCATCCGTCCTACGCTCAAAAGAAGTACACATACCAAGAAGTACACATACCAATTTGTAATCGAGTTTTCGTGTGCACGGGCGGACGGACGGACGGACAGACAATCACCGCTTAATCGATTTCTCTTTTCATTCTGATCATTTATTAATACATTTGTCTATATCTATTTCGATTCGTTTTGCCTGTTACCAACAACCGTTATGTGAACAAAGTTATAGTACCCTTGTGCATAAGTGCGTTCGGGTATAAAAATACTTGGCATCCGCATTCGCATCCGCATCCGCATTCGCATCCGCGGATGTCTAAAATTCCACATTCGCAACATCCCTAATACATACATATCGTGGCTTGGCGTGCAATACCTCGTATCCGCCAAATGCAATACCAAGTATGAGGTGGCATAGAAAAAAATTGTTTTTTGTTACCCTGTCTCAATGCTTTCCTACTTCGCAAATTTAATAGTGCATAATTATAGTAGAAGCTCATATTTAGTAAGTTTAGTTAGGAAAGCATTCAAAAGTTTTGAAGAAAATAAGTTTCTTCGCTCTTTTGTAAAATTTGCGGACTATCTTATACATTCACTGGCGACCAAAACATTTTATTATTTACAGTAATATAACTTTTTTAATAAAAAGCGGAATGATTTCAAATTTTCAGTAATTGGTCCTTATTATCTAAGGCAGGCTTTCCCAAAGTGGGTGCCGGTGCACCCTGGGGTGCCGCGAGCGTATGCCAGGGGTGCCGCTAGTGGCTACAGTATACTAGTGGTGCGGGCAAAGCGTAGTTCCCCAGTACGTTTTGTCAACGAAAATTTAATTAGAAAATTTTCAGAAAAATAGCCGAAAACGTCCCCTTTTCACAACCATTTTCGGTACTTTTGTAGACCTAATCCGCGTTTCATCCACTTTTATTCACGTTTCAGGATTAATTTTCGGATTTTATGCTGGCTGGGCTGTTCTTGTAACAAGCGCAGCAGCTTCGCGTAGGTGTATATGTTACTTATTCCTTGGAACTTCACAATCACACTGTGAAAGAGCGAATCAACACGATTTTAGAGGCAGTCGAGAACGAACTTATAAAAAGTTGGAAAACTTGTGAATTTTTTAGTTTGCCACTTGACGAAAGTACCAACGTAGTGGGACTTAATGTTCTTCTCGTGTTAGTGAGGTACCCATTCGCAATGCAAATCGAAGTAGAACTTTGGATGAGCGAAGTACTTGAGACTTACCCCACTAGCGACGAATTATTTAAAGCTATCGACAAATTTATACAGAAAAATGGTTTGAAATGGATCAAGTGTGCGGATATTTGCAGTATTGGAAAAACGAAAGGAGCGGTGTCTAGGATGAAGCAAGAGGTAGAAAACGCCACGAGAAGTCACTGTATGATCCCTCGGTATTCCCTGGCGACTAGGAAGATGCCGCCACTAGATATTGGATGACGATGCGAAGATAATAGAGGCCTGCGAAATTAAAATACATCTTTGGCTTTGTTTAGCACGTCGAGACTTTTTTTATTAGTGACATGCAAGAATGATAGAATACAAGATTGCGCCAATGAGAGAGGATTTTTGAGCGTAATTTTTGTGTGACGTCATCTTGGTACAATTGCGAGTGAGAAATGCCAAATCGCATATAAAAATATGTAAACAATGCAGAAAAATGTGTTAATTTTAATATTACATGGCCCAATTTTGTAGGAATCAATAAATATACAAAGATTGATTAATTAGGAACACGTAGCAATAATTTTGGACATGTACCCCTTTAGGTAAGTACGATTTTTAGCACATGTGTTTGCAATTTCATGTAAACCAAAAGGAAGGTGTGCAGCAAAGTGAATTTTTGGACTCGCCATTGTAAAAAGCCATGCAGAGTGCATATTTATATTTGTGGACGGCAGCCAACCACAGCGCGGTAAGATCCCGCTGGAATTAGCGCCTGGCGACCTCATACAAGTAGGTAGTGAAATCATGTATCTATTTACTGCAGAAACGGCTTTTATATGTATGCCATTACCAGAAAACTAAACCAGTAACTGTCTACATTCACCATGGAAATATACCTACTACAATTCACCAAGGAAAGGCCAACATAGTTCCATGTAGAAGCTCATAGCTCACACACATAGCACAAAGCTCGAATTGCTGTTTAATGCATCTCCTCGCCGGCACAACTGCTTCCACTTTTTCGCCAGATTTGCGTCCGTAGGAAACGAAAAAAAACTTATATCGCACGCTTTCCTTTTGTTTTCACTATTACACTTTGCCACGGCACACTTCATTTTGCTTTGTAATGTCTCAATAATTGTTTAAATCCACGCAGAAATATTAACGCACAAATATTAAAATTGTTATTTGGTTTTTTCGTATGCTCACAATCAACAATTGCACCAAGATGACGTCACGCACACAGCTGATTCCGTCAAAATCACAAAGAGCGGATTAGCGGTACCGCGATTGCCGCAATCTCTATTTCTCTCAATCGTGAGCGACATGTATATTTTAGAATGTCTAGCAATTTTCATGAAAACCCCATAAATAAGCAAAGTAAATCTCAAAAACCTATGTAACTCCGAAGTTAACGCTAAGAAAATTCATAAAGGTTATTTTCTTAGCGTTAACGCGCATCGCCAGCGTTTACTTCGAAGGTTTAGAAAAAACCATTGTCGAATATTTTCCCAACATTGACTATGAGGATGGCTACAGCTGTATAACAAACCCATTTTCATGTGACCCGAAAAATAAACCTACTAGGATGACAAATTAAGCTTTTGAAAACCTTCTGGACATCGGTGTAAACTGCACTTTGAATATTAAATACTACGAAGGGAGCCAAGAGAGGTCTGGATGCAAGCGTGTACAGAAAACACTGCTGTTGGCAAGATTGCATTAAAAATACTAGTGACTTTTATTTTAACATTTCTATGTGAGACTGGATTTTCAACAAATGCTTACATAAAAAACGCGGTGAAAAAAGTTTTGAAACCTCTGATCTAAGGAATAAAGTCTAGTAAAACTAAACTTAAAAAAGAAGCAAGCGATTCACAGCAAAAACGCAAGGCACTCAGTTTTGAACTTTTCTGTTTCGAGATTTTAGGAGGTTGATATCAAGGGGATTGTGGAACCTCCCTTGTTTTTAATAGCGATTTTCATGCGTCTGGGAATGCTCTCTACTGAGTTTTCTATGATTTCGCTTAAAATATTACCTCATTATAATTTTACTCGCCTCCACAGCTCTTTTGTGGTATGCTAATCCTCTCTTGATTTCAATAAATTTAAATTTTGCTAACGTTGCTGTAACAGTCGCAATGCCCAGTGAGCAGAGCACTGGCCTGCCATTCGAGAGGTCCGAGTTCAATCCTCGGCAGCGGAAGTTTAATTGTTTTAAAAATAAATATTTTTCAATTTCGTGTAATGTTAAGAAAGTTTTTTAATTACTTTTTTTCTTGTTTTACTTAAATTTTTTCCAATTTTTAGTTTTTATTGTTTAATTTCGTTTAGTTTTTACCAAAGATTTTGCTAAAAGATGAATAGAATAACGCTAAGGCCTTCTCGTTAGCAAATCTTTCAATTATTCATTCAAAATACAGAAAAGAGCTTTCAAGATAGTTGCCGGAATAGAAAGACTTTGATCTTTCGAAAGACAGTGGTGAGTTGAAAGACAGATGCCAGAATTGGCCTGCTAGTGGTTTTGTTTGTCTTATAGCAGAGTTTCTAAAGAATGAAATAATTTTTTTTTTCCTTTTGAAAATAATAAAATCTACAAATCAAAAGTAAATTAAATTTAAAAAAATTAAATAAAATCTAATATATAAAAATCTCGTGTCACGGTGTTAGTGGTCGAACTCCTCCTAAACGGCTTGACCGATTTGAATGAAATTGTTTGTATATATTCGGTAGATATTATAATAGGTTGTAAAGAATGTTTCATACCGCTAAGAGAAGAGGGCGTGGCACCTCCCATACAAACCGAATTTTTCACACTTTATATCTCTGCAAGTGTTCATGATAGAGTACTGGAATTTGGTATGGACATATATATAATCAATCGCATAGTCATGAAGAAAAATTGGGGCTATTGGAAAAAGGGCGAGCACCTCTCATACAAACCGGATTTTTATGCTGTATATTTCTGGAAGTCTTTATGGTAGAGTACTCGAACATGGTATGGAGATATATGAAATCATTCCCTTACTCTTAGAGAAAATTGCGGCTATTTTATATAAGGGGGCGTGCTGCCTTTCAAACGCACTGAAGCTATTACGTATCTTTGTATGCATATACACTTTTGCTAGGTTATTTAAGATGGCAATGGAAATATGCCTTCTGACAACCTCCAAACCGTAATATTAGAAGATGAATGCGTCACTGAGAATCATGAACGTGAACTGTTGGTGAAAATGTTGGACCAAAATGTTTCAATACAAAAAATTAATTTTGGGCGAGACGAAGTTCGCCGGGTCTGCTAGTCTATATATATAAAAATGGTGTGAACAAAGTATAGTAATTCCTCAATTGAGAACGGTTGGGACAATTTGGCAAAAATTTTTTTTTAGTTGTTCGTAATTGTCAGAAGGTTCTTACGAAAGAACATTTTTGGGAAAACCCTCCGGGAAAGTTGTGAAATTGGAAAAATCGAAAATTAATTTTTTTGTAGGGAATTTTGTGTGCAAACCTTCGGAATGGCTTTCGAATGGAAAAATAGAAAATTCTAAGTGGAAAGCTCGGAAAAATCCGGAAGAACACGAAATTTCGCATTTTATCGCATGATTTGATGATTTTGGACGATGTAAAGGTGGAAAATTCATTGTGGAGCTTCGAAAATTTCGGATAATTGTGAAATTTATTGTGAGCATGAATCAATTGGGAACAAGTTTCTCCTATGTTTCATATTCGAATGGTTGCTGCGTTTTTGGAAAGGTATTTAGAAGGAGAGCACAAAGTTTTAATTTTTCCGATAGGTGACGCAGGGGTCGAGCTACGCTAAAAAAAAATGCATTTAGTACGTAGGTAGCCACTTGCTTGAAATTTGGCACGTAGGTAGCTTGTTGCCTGGATTAACATATAGGATACTTTTTTCGGAAAGGTGGACCAGGGACCAATCTATTCGCAGAAATCTTAGTTATGGACTGATTTGCTTGAAATTCGGCATGTAGGTAGCTTATTGCCTGGGTTAACATATAGGATATTTTTTCTGATAGGTGGACCAGATACCGATTTATTGGAAAAACCTTATTTATAGTGCGACTTGCTTGAAATTTGGCATGTACGTAGCTTATCAGGATTAAAATATAGGATACTTTCTTCTGATAGGTGGACCAGGGACCGATCTATTCCAAAAAATCGTATTTATTGTCCGATTGCTTGAAATTCGATACCCGCTTTATAGATATGCGTAGAATAGAATTGAGTCATTGTCTTACAGTTCGAAAGGTGTTTGAGGACGCCGCAAACATGCGGGTATTGGCTATTTAACAATACTTACTACACAGGCCGAGAAAAATGGAAAAAAATATGATGCAGCAAATGTTAACGCCATTTTTGACAGATTTTTTTATGCTGATTACGAATCCGTAAGCATACGAGTTTCCATCGGCTCCAAATTTTAAGAAAAACAAGGTCAAAATGTCAAAAATCGCGTTTTTTGCAATATTTGAGAAGCTCTAGCAAAGAAACAAAGTGTGGTAGAACCTTCCACTTATGCTTAGATTAAAGCTAAAAATCTCGAATACCGTCCCTGAAAATTCCTGCACCTTTGCTTGATGGTCACTTATAGTGATTTGATGAACAGGAAAAACTGATTTTGGGAAGTTTGAGTACCTGCCGTAATTAAGCAAAAGGTGATAGAACCTTCCACTTAGGCTCAAATTAAGGCTTGGACTTCTGACTTCAATCCCTGAAAATACCATTCGTGCACCTTAACCCTAAGGTCACCTATAGTCGTTTATTGAACAGCTAACACTGATTTTTACACAATATTTTTTTTTTCTATTGCATAATTCCATTCCATTAAATTAATTTTCCAGTATTTTTTATTATTGTGACCATCGGGGCAAGGTGCGGGAATAGTATTTTCAGGGATAGTAGGTTGTGGTTCTAGCTTTAATTTAAGCCTAAGTGGAAGGTTCTTGGCTTCACTTGGCATTTCCAATTGGCGTCAGTTGGTACAGAAGAGAAACGACTGGCGTGCTTTGTTGAACTCGGCCAAAATCGCTTAGACAGTTACAGTGCCAATTAAGAAAACGAAGAAGGAAGGTTGTATCACCTTTTGTTTCCTTGATAGAGCTTTTCAAATATTGCAAAAAACGCGATTTTATGACACTTTCACCACGTTTTTTCGAAATCTGGGGCTGATGGAAACTTTATACTTACGGGTTCGTATCAGCACAAAAAAGTATATCAAAAATAGCTTTAACATATGCCACATCAAAATCGGTGTTGCCCTGTGTTACCTACACTAATTATATAAAGATAAGCTCCTTCTTTTTAGAAGAGGTGATCTAGCGAACGGCTGTACCGATTTTTTGAAATTTTGGACACCTACTGCAGACTTTCGATATATTAAGGGTGGGTGGCATCACCCATAAATGGCTATAAGTTACCGTTGATTTTTGAGAACTTTTTCGCTGATGATGTTGCGCATTTTCTCCGTATAAGGAACGCGTCATAGTTTTTTTTTTTTTTTGTAAGGGAAAAAATGCCTCTGGTCTAAACATGAAACTTTCCCAAAAATTTCCGTACATATTTGGCTACAATGCTGTACTAAAAAAAAAAAATTTAAATTCATAACACAACTTTTGCATTTGTAAAAACCACCTCCTTAATTTTTATAAAAAAGTTAAAATATCCACCATTTTGTTTTTAATAAGTATTAAGAAGTGTAGTTAGGCACATCTTCTTAAGAATAGTATCTAGTTTATTGTGTACAAATTTCAAATCAATCGATACATAAACGTCTGAGATATAGCGAGGTTAAGTGAAAATTTCGCGAAAATTGGCCGCTGTGAAAAATCAGGTTTTGTGACTTTTTCGACATGAAGGCGTGAAAGCAAAAAATCGCCCTGCGACCATATGCGCAGAGAGGCAATTTTTATTTCGCGCATTGCGCGACCTTTTATGTATAGATCTTGGGCAAGAGTTATTCTGCGTTGGATTTCCATGCTGACATTATTATCGGTGTTAATGCTGGTTCCCAAGCAAGGCGCATCAATTACAGGTGATAGCGATAGAAGCTATGCTTCTTCTTATGAGCACGCTTGTGTCAAATTATCGTCTGTTTTGCTTTATTTACATATCCGCGTACACATACACATATACGTATATATATACCCTGCAAACAAATGCTCCCGAAATCTTTAAGAGTGTCGGAAATTTGTTACGATTCTTTTAGAAATCTGTAAAGAAAAACATATGAAGCGGTTGACAAGAACTAGTAAAGAAATTTCTGTATGATTTCTTAAAGAAAATTCTTAAAAAAATTGTGAAACCTTTCAGAGTTCTATGAAATCCTGGTATGCAGGGTATACATATACACACGAATATGAATAGATAAAGAAGATGTTGATGACACAAGGAGTTCATACCAACGGTAAATGTTGTTTTTGTACGATTGCTACAACCTGTAGTTGTTGAATCATGGTTCCCAAGTAAACGAAATTCTCTACTTCCTCGAAAGTATAACTGTGAACAGTGACGTGCCAAGGCGCGAATGCGCTGACTGTTTGTTTGATGACAGGAGATACTTTGTCATGGCCTCGTTTACCCCGAGACCCATTCGCTTTGCTTCCTTATCTAACTTGGCAGAACAGACTTCGCGATTCTTGTTACCGATGATGTCGATGTCAACGGCGTACGCCAGCAATTGTACGCTCTTGTAGTAACCCTGTAGGGAAAACTCGAACTAGTGAACCAAATTTCTAGTTCAGTACTAGTTCTTTTTCGCCAAAAACGAAGCAGTCCGATAGTAACTAGACCCGCACCAGCCCAAAAGCAGTGAAATGTGGTACTTTCACTAAAGTATTTTATTTCAAATTTTAAAAGCAGGGAAGGTAATTATTATGAGTAAAATAATTTAAATCAGCATTTAATCATTATTTTATGAATTATTATTGAGTTTTATTTTTTAGCTCAAACGGAAATAATTATTATTTGATTTTTATTTTTGGGATTACAAATAATGATTATTTTATTATTTTTATTTTATCGCGCAGAGAACTACTGAAATTTCGACCTGAAAAGTTTGGGTCTTATTCCTCTTATAAGGGTGGGGCTACCTCTCAAAAGGATACGTCGGTAATCACGCTGGTATAGTTTTTGAGTTGCTTAATAATCATTATACTTAGTGATTCCATAAGCAAAGGCCAAGATCCTGAAGGACAATTGAGAAAGGCAATGCAGTTGCAGAAAAAGAGGCATTTAAAAAAAAAGTGTCAAAATCATTACCACTTTCTCACTAAATTTATTTAAAAATGCAAGCCACCAGAGCTACCTTTATTTTAAGAAAAGACAAACTAATTTTTGTTTTATGCAATCCAGCACAGCTACCTTCATACAGTCAGTCAATAAAGTTTAGGTACAACGAATTTTTTACAATACGGGCAACTATTTTCTAAATATTTTAGTTTTCGGTAATTTTTTATAAAAATATGGTTAGTTCTACACCAAAAACCCCAAAAATTTTATCAATCTTATTTAAGTACGACAAAAACTTTCGAAGTACTTGATATACATATAAGCTTAAAAGGAACTGAATTTACTTAAAAATCAATATCCTTAAATTTAGACAAGTAAGACAAAGTGAACTAATATTTTTACTTTTAAGCAGAACGCACTTTTGTTTTTTACTTACTACCTAAGTTTAATACTACTACTACTGCTAATGTGGTTTATAAATTTTTAATAAATGCGTTTAAACATTTGTGATGGTATTGTCCTTCCTTCAACCGATCGTATTTAATATAAAAGGGAGATGTTTCGACCTGATTAGAAATATAGATTTAAGGTGACGAATTTATAACAGGTTGGGAACTATAAAAAATGGATGCAGATCGAACTAGGTCTCATCTGTCGAATTAGGAACTGGTTTGGAACTATAGAAAAGGGGATGCAGAACGAACTAGATCTCATCTGTCGAATTTGGAACTGGTTCGGAACTATAGAAAAAAGGATATAAAACGAACTAGATCTTATCTGTCGAATTTAGAACTGGTTCGGAACTAGAGCCAAAGGGATGCAACGAGGGACAATTGACACTTCCTAGGACATCGCAATGTTAAATTCGCCAGTCGCTAGCATGCAAAAGAGAATTAACGCGTAGTAGTCATGGTTCCAAACGCACTACAACCGAACCAGTTCCGCACTACTTCGTTTCCCTATAGGGAAATTGTTCCTGAGCGGTTCAGTTCTGCAGCTCTTACTATCTTCTCCAACATCAGATTAAAGAAGTCACATGAAAGGGAGTCGCCCTGTCTGAAACCCCGTTTGCTGGCGAACGGCTCGGAGAGGTCTTTCCCAATTCTGACGGAGCTGGTGGTATTGCTCAACGTCATTTTACACAACCGTATCAGTTTGGCGGGGATGCCAAATTCAGACATAGCGGCGTATAGGTAACTCCTTTTAGTGCTGCGGAAAGCGGCTTTAAAGTCGACAAATAGGTGGTGAGTGTCGACCCTTTTCTCGCGGGTATTTTCCAAAATTTGGCGTATTGTGAATACCTCTTCTATGGTGGATTTGCCTGGTCTGAAGACACACTGATGAGGTCCAATCAGTTCGTTGACGGCGGGCTTCAGTCTTTCGCACAATACACTCGGTAAGACCTTATAACCTATGCTTAGAAGGCTGATCCCGCGGTAGTTGGCGCGAATGGCGGGGGCGCCTTTCTTGTGGATTGGGCAGAGCACACTTAAATTCCAGTCGTCAGGCATGCGTTCATCTGACCATATTCTGCATAAGAGTTGATGCATACACCTTATCAACTCGTCGCCACCGTATAGTCAGGCGGAGGAACATCGACTCCGTCATCATCGACTGGGGGATCGGGGTCTTCTTCTCCACAACTTTCCAAGCTGCCACCATTCAGTAGGGTGAAGAAATGTTCCCTCCATAATTTAAGTACGTTCCGAACATCGGTAACTAGGTCGCCATTGTTGTTCTTACACAAGAATGATAGAATACAAGGTAGCGCCAATCGAGCTGAGAGCAACTGGCGGTGACGTCAACAAATACCAAAATGAGAGAGCAAGACGAACTCGATAAGGAAAAGAGGAAGCATCGAACAAAAGGCAGTATTGCCAGGTTTTGAATTTGGAAAAGGACCAAATTTGTATTGGCGTATTTTATGGACTTTATATGCATACGTAATTTTATTGTAAGGATGCCGATTCAAATTAATAAAAATCAATGTTTCTTGCACGACGGTCCATTTCTTCTGGCATGATTGAAGGTGCTGCCACATATTTTGTTGTCGCTTATAATTGTCACTGTGCCATGATTTTGTTTTAATTTTTGTAAAGTTGCTTTCCACACTTACGATTGCTATAAATTTTGCTTCCACTTTTTTAAGATTTTCAAATTTGGTGTCTTCAAACTAAAAACAAAAGCACCAAAAACACACAAAGCACCGATCTCAACAATTTTCGCGTTTTGAATACTCACTAACTTTGGTGCAAAAAGCATCAAGTTGGCAAAAGTAAATGTAAACAAAAGTATTGTGTGACGTCAGCGAATGGGTGGATGCTGTCAAATCGACGAAGAGAGGGTTAGCGGTCCGGGAATGGCGCGACCTTTATTTTCTGTATCGTGGTTCTTACAGGAGTACGCCCTGGCCTTTAAACCTTCCGTAAGACGCCTAACTCTCTGGTAAAATTTTCGGGCATTCTTCCTGTCGGCCAGCATTTCAAGCTCTTCGCACTCACGTATTTCGGCCTCTCTCTTCTTATTGTGGCGAATACGTCTCGCTTCCCTCTTCAGATCCCTATAGCGGTCCCACATAGCGCGCGTTGCGCCCGATCGCAGCTGTTCCCTGTAGGCGGCACCCCTTTTCTCTGCAGCTTCCTGACACTCCTCATCGTACAAATTGTTCTTTCAGGCTCGGTGAAATCCGAGTACTTCTTCGGCGCCGGTACTTAATAAGCGGGAGCGCATATGTCCGTTTGTTGAAGAGCGCTCTCTGAGAGCAGGTGTGAGAGTCGAGTACCGAATGCATTGGCTCTCTGCTGTGATTGCAGCTTTTCAACGTTAAGCTTTCTTTGCATATTCGGAGGGTACGTACGTCCAAAACGCTGGAAAGATGCCTTCCGTCTATCACAACATGATCGATTAGATTTCTCGTTTTTCGATCTGGAGATTGCCACGTAGCTTGATGGATCTTTTTATACTTGAACCTCGTACCGCATACTACCATGTTTCGGGCCCTGGCGAAGTCAATCAGCCTCAGTTCGTTGTCGGATGTTTCGTCGTGTAGGCTGAATTTTCCGACGGTGGTGCCAAAGATCCGTTCCTTGCTCACCCTGGCATTGAAGTCGCCAGTTGATTTTGATATCGTGGCGGGAGCAGCGCTCGTACGTACGCTCCAAGCGCTCATAGAAGAGATCTTTGGATACCTCATCCTTCTCTTCCGTCGAAGCATGGGCGCAGATGAGCGAGATGTTGAAGAACTTCGCTTGGATGCGGATTATGGCTAGACGCTCGTTCACCGGGGTGAACGACAGTACTCGGCGACGGTGTCTCTCTCCCACCACAAATCTAACACCGAATTTGCGCTCCTTTACATGGCAGCTGTAGTATCGTTTGCCGTGGTCGTCATCAAAAGGGGGTTCTCATCCGAGGCTTTGTGTTTATTTTTCATTGGAGCATGTTTATAAAGCGGGGGCCACTTGCTCCAAGACGGACACCCTCTTGCAGCAGCACCTACTGGTGAACAGACGCTGCAGACTTCAGTGAGCCCTTAATCCGAAGAAGTCGGGGCCGGCCCCACCAAAGCTCCTTCTCTTTCTGTCGTGACCCAAGGCTCCACTCGGATTGGTTACCGCATCTCGCACATGGGTTGCTCACGTTGCCCAGAGTGCGCGAATGCGGTCGCAAGAGTGTAGGATTGAGTATAGCCGTGCAACTGTAACTACATACCCAGCACAACGACTATACCCCATTGCACTCCTTGCGCTTGGAATATTACCTCATTTTAATTTTACTCGCCTCTAAACCTCGTTTCTGATATGCTAATCCTCTCTTGTTTTCAATAAATTTAAATTTTGCTAACGTTGCTGTAACACTCGCAATGCCCAGTGAGCAGAGCACTGGCCTGCCATTCCAGAGAGGAAGTTTAGTTGTTTTAAAAATAAATATTTTTTAATTTCGTGTAATGTTTAGAAACTTTTTAATTACTTTTTTTCTTGTTTTACTTAAATTTTTTCCAATTTTTAGTTAGTGTTTAGTTTCATTTAGTTTTTACAAAACTTTTTGCTAAAAGATGAATAGAATAACGCTAAGGCCTCCTCGTTAGAAAATCTTTCAATTAGTCATTCAAAATACAGAAAAGAACTTTCAAGATAGTTGCCGGAATAGAAAGACTTTCATCTTTCGAAAGACATAGGTTAGTTGACAGACAGATGCCAGAATTGGCCTGCTAGTGGTTTTGTTTATCTTTTAGCAAAGAGTTTCTAAAGATTGAAATAAATTTTGTTTGTCCTTTTTAAAAAATTAAAATCTACAAATCAAAAGAAAATTAAATTGTAAAACAAAAAATTAAATTAAATAAGTTTCTAAAAATTTAGCAAGAATAAAAAATAAATCAAAAAGGAAAAAGAAAATTGTCCCGCCCGTGGACACGAACTCCATTGCGACTGTTAAGACAGTGCCCGCAAAATTATATAAATACTCATTTTTATATTTGATTTCAAACTGAATGAAAAAAGTGAGTGAACTAATGAGCTCTATCTTTTAACTCTGAGAGGATACATTAATTATATATATATAATATATTTAACGATCATTAGTTAAGTGCCCGTTAGAGCTAATTTAATGAATGTTTCTGAGTGCGGCTGTTAACCCTACATTCATGTAATTGACACTGTGAAAAATGTGGTTTCCGTGTACGCATGGTATTCTGGGTTTTGGTATAACTAGTGTGACCAACTGTACGTAAATGACACGTACAGTACGTAAATTTGTAGCCATGTACCGTGTACCGAAGCTAACCACAAAATCACGAACATGTACGTAAATTGAATCGAAGGAATATTGTTGTACGTAAATTTTATCGATAGGAGCGCCCAACATACATACGTACATGCAAATTTTGACTAATAAAAACTAAAAAGATCTCTCACGTCAATTCTACGGTTCGAATGTTAATTTTGATTCTTTTTTGATTCTAAAGATTTTGTTCATTTGTTCCTTAGAATCATGTATCGAATACATTGGAAAGTGGATTGAACAATTCGACCATATTATGATATTCGCCTGGTGTGCACTTGATCAACCACCAAAATGGGAGTTTATCGAAAGTACCGCGAAGAGCATTGCAAAGAATAATAATTTTGACATAGAATCACCGACACTGATTTATTCCATCAGTTCACATATTTGGAAAAATACGTTACCCCAGAGAAGATCCAATCGTGGGAAGAAAATAACACTGACGCCGATGAACGCTGGGTTGAATGCTTTCAACATTTTGACCAAAAGAAGGTCCCGTACAACCACATGGTGAGAATCGTATCGTATGTTCTCTGCTTACCAGGCACATCAGCTGCCGTTGAACGCGTATTTTCTTTGATCAATCAGATTTGGAGCGATGAGAAATCACAACTGGAAATCGAGACATTGCGAGATCTTTTGTTTGTTTGGTACAACATTAAAATGACTTGTATGGAATTTTTCGAATTCGTAAAGAAGCAACCTCAAATGCTGAACGAAATTGCATCAGATGGAAAATACGCGCTCAGGAAAACTACTCCAGATCAATGAATTGATTACATAGGCCGACACTTTTGTAATTTAGCAGCAATTGCATTATTTCAGCTTTGAATGTATGTATGTACCTAAATATTTCTCAATTCGCAAATAAATATGCTGAAGTTTGTACGTCAAAAATGTGTTTGGATATCGACTAATAAACAGCAATAAAATCGTTTCCAAAATTTTTCTTTAAAACTTTGTGTTGCTACAATCTTTTGTGTACGTAAATGAGTTTTTTGAAAAGTGGCCACACTAGGTATAACATAGAATATCCAAAGGTTAATAAAGTCAACCCATTAACTCAAAATTGGTAAATTTGCACATTCATGCTTCTGGCATGAGGGGACGATATTACTTATTATAAATATAATGAGAGTTGTTACTGATAAGTATTTGATATACAGTTGTCCACAAAATAATAGGAGTGCGATATTTTGACCTGTTTTGGATATTTGGCTTTTGTTGATATAATGTGGTATATGAAATCACATGTAAAGGCAGCGAAAACGAAAACTGCAACAAAGTTTCCATAGGGACAACTAAACGAGCATTAGGCGTTCGTCTTTCAGAGCACGAAGCCGACATAAATAAAAAGAAGAACAGCACAGTATTAGCACAACACGTACTTACCAGTGGTCATACGGCTGATCTAGCTAACGTTAAAATATTGGACAAGGAGAAGAGGGAACGGGCAAGATACACAATAGAGAGTTTACGTATACTACAGAAAAGGGAAAAAACAATCAACAAGAAGGAGGACACGGACGATATCGCGGCTGCTTACATGTTACGTTTGTAGCGAATATTTAGTTTGACGAAATTACCACAGATGGATGGTAGCAATACTTTTATGTTTTTCAATGTATTTAACGTTCTAATGTTTTTTTATATGTATGTGCATTTATGTGAAATCAATTTAATCTAAGTGTACATGTAAGTCATGCGATAAAAATAAGATTAAAAACCTGTGAATGTGGTTGTTTTCTAAACAGAAAAATATTTTTGTTTACCAATATTTAATTTTTATTTGTACGAAAACTCATAATTTCTATTTTAAATAATCTTGTTGTCCTCTGTTTTTTGTTGATATTTATAATAAAGAATCGCCGTTGATGATGCTAAGGTAGTTAGCGAAACGTTGGGCTAAGAAGTGGAGAAAAAACTGTTTTTCTTGCACATGGAAAAGTAGATCGACCAGCCTACAACAATACCAACATATAATGTTTATTATTTTTTTATAAAAGTCTAGCTCGAGTTATGTGTTCCGTCAACTGATTACTCGATTCTTAAAAACACTGATTTGGTATTACGAGATACGTGATCGGATCGTTGTTATCGTAATTTGGTATAACGAGTTCAGTGAACGTACCTCAGAGCGTAAATTTCATTCGATAGCAAGACGCCATTCGTATGCCAAAAAATTTTGTTATTATTTGTTAGTAAATTTGCTGCAATTGATATTTAAAGTAAGTAAACTTTAATAAAAAGCCTATTAATACCCAACAAGCATTTCAGTAAACGTTTTTAAAAATAACTTAAATTAAGTTTGCTATAATAAGCGTTAAATAAGCATTTTTAATATTATGCTTATTAAAAGTTTTTTCAAATAAACCTTTAATAAGTTTTGAGAGCGAATGTTTATAAATAACTTAAACTTATAAATGAAATGTAAATGCCAACGACATGAAGTAGTAAATATAAAATTTTTTCAATCGTAAGTGACGTGTTTACGTTTTTTAAAATATATTATTAAAAGAAAAAATTAAATAAAACCGATGTGGTAAAAAAAGTCCAATCCAGGACCCGCTGCGCTAATCGGTGGAGCATTCGAGTCTTAAAATGATGAGTTCCCCTTATCCTTTCTTAGTTTAACATTCAATTAAAAATGTATTAAATTTTTTTCAGAAAAGTTCATCAATGAGAATGGCGGCGATGAAGCGGAATATATAGCTGCATCGATGTCGCTTTTCCAATTTGCCAATAACCGCAAGTAATTGAAAGCACGCAACAAGATGTAATAATTAACTTTTTTATGCTTAATTTGTATGTGTTATTGTGAATTTGTATGCTAAAATGTCTATTCCCTATTTATATTTTCGCGACTGTAGATGAGTCCGCCGAAAATTCGCATTTCGTTTAGTTTCTAGATGTTAAGCAATCTATGTATGAGTTTTTAATGAAATATCTTTAAATAAAGGGTTATAAAAATGTTTATAAAAAGCTTTCTTTTGAAAATTTTTAGTAAGTTTATATTCATACGCTTATAAAAAACTTTTTTTGAACCTTTATTATAAGTTTACACTTTTACGCTTATAAAAAGCTTTCTTTTGAACATTTATTACAAGTTTATATTTCTACGCTTATAACCAATGTTCCTTTTCGATTATATTACGCTTACTTTCAAGCGTTTTATAAACAAAAAATCAACGTTTTGTAAGCTTAATGTTTATAATTGAAAACTAAAAAAAAACTTTCTTTAAGTTTATTTTGCTTGTTGGGTATATATGCACATGTACATATGTATGTTTAATATCAAAATATGTGTGAAACTGACAAAAGAAAAAATGTATACTTTCATTTACAGTCAACAGAAATTAAAACCAAAAAAAGAGGCCTAAAGCGGAGAAATGTAAGTAAAACAGGATAATTGTAATAAAAATACATTTTTTTTCTAAAATATCGTTGTTATATCTTGGGACGCATTTTACAAGCTCAACCAGCAGAAAACCATTATGGGGGACTTCATGAAGGAGCATCTACATTTGGCAAAGAATATGCTGCCAAATTGCGCGCAGGGCAAGGCAACTGCTTTAAGGCTAGGTGAAGAGCTTTCCAGAAAGTCAAATGCTGTAGGATGCAAAAATGTGGAGAAAGGTATGATGAAACGACTTTTTCATGTTAAATTTCTAAGCGTTTGCTGACCAAAGATAACAAGCAAAATTAAAGCTCTCCTTCAAAAAGGCTTCAAAGTTTCAGACAGACTTATTACAGAGGCGGAGGAGAACATCATTCAGGCAAGTGGCTTGGAAGTGGCTGTGGATGGCATGGTTAACGTGAGAACCTTCGGAAAGCTCTCAACAGCACAATCCCAATCGGAGTTACCTTCTCCCGACAACCAAGAAATTGAATGTGATGCCACAATGTTTGAAGTTTTGAGTGAAAGCATGCCTGTGTACGATTTTGATTACAAAAACATACCAACAGTGTCAAAGAAGAACAAGAAATTATCGGTGGATCCCTCGCTCGTTCTTCTAGAAGGAAAGGAAGGAAAGGTTTCTTCCGAGTCCAATGTGAGTATGGAAGGCAAGCATGATCGGCTTCTTAAAATACAAGAATGGCTTTTAGAAATCAAAGAGTATAAGTACAACCGGTTTTGGGCTTTAAATGATTTAGGCTGCGTTTCTCCAAACTCATTTAAATGGAAATTTACTTTAATGNTCGGCTTCTTAAAATACAAGAATGGCTTTTAGAAATCAAAGAGTATAAGTCCATCGGTTTTGGGCTTTAAATGATTTAGGCTGCGTTTCTCCAAACTCATTTAAATGGAAATTTNATCGGATCGTTGTTATCGTAATTTGGTATAACGAGTTCAGTGAACGTACCTCAGAGCGTAAATTTCATTCGATAGCAAGACGCCATTCGTATGCCAAAAAATTTTGTTATTATTTGTTAGTAAATTTGCTGCAATTGATATTTAAAGTAAGTAAACTTTAATAAAAAGCCTNCCGAGTCCAATGTGAGTATGGAAGGCAAGCATGATCGGCTTCTTAAAATACAAGAATGGCTTTTAGAAATCAAAGAGTATAAGTCCATCGGTTTTGGGCTTTAAATGATTTAGGCTGCGTTTCTCCAAACTCATTTAAATGGAAATTTACTTTAATTTAATTTTTTATTTAATTCTCATTTAAATTATTTTCAGTTTCAATAAGCTCTTTATTTGAGTAAATAGTGGTTGTAAAACAGACTTGGCCAGCGAAAGCTTTGATTTGTACTGAGAGCTTTTGAAAGTCTTGGCACGCTGTGTTGTAAAAGCAGGGCTGGTATACAAGTAAGCAGCAGATACACAAAATTGTGGTGTGTCACGTGCACGTGAACGTGTACCATCTCTGAGTGTGGTTATTCTGATTTAATTTTTATTTAAGTGAAGAGCATAGGTCACTTAAATCAAAATTAAAAACAAATTAAAATTAATTGGTTAAACCAAAAATTCGAAAATTAAAGTAATTTTCACTTAAATGAATCTGGTGAACGCAGCCTTGCAAATTAAAAAAATTGAACTATAAGTTCTCTATGACTATTTATAAATGTTCAGTGACTTCCAGCGAAAATGATAATGCTATTTTTTTAAGTTTTCCAATGCTTTTCATATACAATGTTTCNACCAAAAATTCGAAAATTAAAGTAATTTTCACTTAAATGAATCTGGTGAACGCAGCCTTGCAAATTAAAAAAATTGAACTATAAGTTCTCTATGACTATTTTTAAATGTTCAGTGACTTCCAGCGAAAATGATAATGCTATTTTTTTAAGTTTTCCAATGCTTTTCATATACAATGTTTTCGTAAATTTTTGGTTAAAATATGGTTAATTCTATAACAAAACCATATGTGATTTTAAAGTTAAAAACTTTCAAAATTCACAAAAATTCATAAAATGTCAGAAACTTCATCAAAATTTCTAATTTTGTAATCAGAATTTTAAGAAACATGTCAGGTATTCAGTTTCATAGCCTTTGCGTATTATTACCTGAAATGTTTCTTAAAATTCTGATTACAGAATTAGAAATGTTGATGGTTTCTGAATTTGGATGAGTTTTTGTGAATTTTGTAGAAAGTTTTTAACTCAGATAGCAGATATGGTTTATGTTACAGAATGAACCATATTTTTACAAAAAAATTTTGAAAAAATTGTATATGAAAAACATTGTGAATACTTAATAATACTATCATTTTCGTTGGAAGCCACTTTATAAAAACCTCTTCATCTTAGCTTAAGGCGTTGTTTGAGAAAATGATCTCAAAAAATTTATTGTGTGCCATATTTTATTTTATTTACTAAAGAAACCTCAATAGTTTTCAGCAGGGACGGTAATCATTATGAGTAAAATAATTTAAATCAGCATTTAATCATTATTTTATGATTTTAATTTCTTTCGCTTAAAAATACTAATAATTTTTTAGTTTTATTTTTTCACTCAACGAAAATAACACTGTAGGTAAATTTTAAGGTTTTGAAATATCACAGCTAAACGGCCAAATACGTAAACTTAATTTTGGCCTCTAGATTACGATGGCGTTTTCAGAAAATCCGTATCACGTCAAAATTTTGAGATATTTAGGGGGAAGTTTTAGAGTTCTAAAAGTGAATTTTTCGTCGTTTAAAACAATGTGCTCAGGTTTTGAATTTTTTCTGGGCAAAGGTTTTGATAACTGACCTTACTTAACTTGGATCTTTTAAATTCAATGACGTCCTCCGTTTTTCCAGATTGGATCTAGTTTTCGAGATAACGGTGCTTGAAAATCTGCTTAAATTTTAGGTTTTTTGTTAATAATTACCTCAGTTTTAAGGTTATTTTACTAAAATTTTGCACGTGACTGTATTTTGATATTACCTTAGCTATTTCTGAAAATCATGAAAATCGGTTCACTGATTGTTCAGATATGTGGATTTGCGTTACAACTCATACTTTATTTCGTAATATTTTTTTATAATATTAGTTTATATACTATTTGGACCTAAATTTGGGTTCTCTTCAATCCCGTTTTGGCATATTTTGCTAGTTTCTATTGCTCGAATGATTTTTTTAATATCCTTTGCCTCCTGCGATCGACCAGCAAAAGTCCGCCAACATTGAATTCAATCGTTTTCCAGCGAATCGGTCCTCAAAACACATAATGGATTGGTGAAATCTCTCTCCTACCTCGTCGGTTTCTGTTGAAAGCTGTTGCTCGTAAAAGTCAAAGTGACTGTGTAGGATTTTAAGCGACATGTGCACATTAAACGCGTCAAAAGATTTCATCAAGTTCTCAATAAAAATGGTATATTCTGGTGAACGATTTTTACACAGAACGTGTTTAATTAAAGCCCGAACTGCATCCCATGCAACGGCTGCTGTGCCGTCAAGAATTTCCAAGAAGCCTTGATCCTTCATTAATCTTCTGATGTCCGGCTCATTAAGCACACTTGAAATAAAAGTTATAGGGTTCTTAAAGCAAGAGAGAGATATAATAAAATATTTGAGCGAAAATCTCTCAAATGGGCCACCCAAAATTGGACGGTCAAGATATTTTCGCACAAATCA